CTGTCACTGTATCTTGGGCTTTCTGGGGGCCTGGAAAGCACCTGGTGTCCTTGGTACCAGTGTCACTGCCTTTATTGAAAATCCTTTAATCATCCTAGTCCAGATGCACCACTATTAATAAAAGCTATTTTAGATGCAATAAGAAGTAGTTAAACAGAATTAATGCTGGAAAGTCCAGGAATAACCGATTTCTAGAAGAGAGACATAGATGGATAAAAATAGATAGAAGGGTTTCTTGGTATTCATTACAATTCATGGATAAATTGGTAAGATCAAGACCACCTTGGTGTCTTTTGACAAATAATCAATAAAAGAGCATTAAAGGGCCAATATAGACTGTATTTGAAAATTGGAAGGATAGGAGAGAAGGATGGTTCCATAGGTCCCTAACATGGGATGGCCTTTTTGGGACCTATGGAGTTAAAAAATAACTTAGAAGCCCTATGGCCCACTACAAATAAGCAAGGAATGTTATCAAATAGTTAAAAATGTAATATCAGGCACAGCTGGTGTTGAAAGTGCTTGGTGGGTTAAGGTCATTCTGACCTGGAACTACAAAGCCGAGCAGAATCCTAAGTGCGTGAGAAAGACTGGCAGTAAAACCCACAGTAAAGCAGGAATTTACTGTCTAGTACCAGGTTGATAAGATAGGGAAATGTGTTTTGGATGTACATGATGGTTGGCAAAATTGTTTTACTTTCATCTCTGGAATTGTAAATCTTAGCATGACTGTTCTGCGGTTTCTGCTGAAGAAATTTCACAATCTTTGCTGTATATATCTCAAACCTTGCAGCTGCAAAAATTACACTCAGACTTTCACCAAGCTGTGTGTCTGTCTGTCACTCGTCGACTCCTTGTCCTCCCTCTTGACGACCCTGTTCCCGTCGGACTGAACTGCCCCGGTCTGGGCTGGTCCATTGCAGGTGAGCATTGTTGCACAATTTGTCTTGCAGCTTCCTTAGTAATATGAAATTGTTTTATCAAACTTTGGCTATTTTGGTGATGAATGGCATGAGAATTTGTAGCTTGCTCTACCTGAGTCAATCCTATAAGCTGAGTGGCTTTATTCACCAAGGCATTCCCCAAAGCTAATGGCCCAGGAAGACCACTATGCGCTCTGAGATGTCCTATATAGCAAAGATATTTTCTAGATCTAATACTGTTTTGCACTTGTCTTAACAGCAAACAAATTTGAACATTCCTCGTTTCAATAAAAGGTACTGTTTCAATTTCCTGTAGAGCTCGAGCTACATAATGACTATCTATATAGAGATTGAAGGGTGTTGAGGCCAGAAGCTGGAACACTGCAGCTACAGAGTGAAGTTCCACTACCTGTGCTGAAGCAGAGGAAGTTTGAAAAGAAACTTTGCCCATAAATCACATAAGCTGCGTGTCCATTAGAAGAACAATCAGTAAATACCGACATAGCCTGGGGGATGGGACCATACTGAGCACAAGCAGTCTTTAGTTCCTTAAGCTGCTTAAAAGGCACAGGTGTGTGAGACTGCACCCTGGTGCCCTGCTGATCAACTTGCGCAGAAACTGGGAAGACCTGAAATCCATGCACTGACTCTCCTCTCTCTACTGCGGCCCCAATGGCCTGTTGTAGCGGACATTGCAAGGTTCTAAGCGGGTACCAGATTCTTGCTGAAGGCTCCTGAGCCATGGCAATCATGGGAGGTGCAACAGCCTTTGGTGGCCTCGGAGGAGGCTCTAATCCTACCATGATAGAGGGTGTTGGGGTGGTCCTAATTCTTTTCTCTTTGTTCTAACTCTGTCCTTAATTGCTTAATTTCCCAGTGATCAGGACACTTCTCCTGATCATACTCAACCATCTCCTCTCCTAGGGCAGACTCATCCTCAGGGTCAAGAGATCCCTCTTCTAGCCCCAGACGGGGGTCCTCATGAAAGGGTGGATCTGGCTCTGGTGGAGCAGAAGGTTTAGTTTCACTTTTAACCCAGCCGTGGCTTATCAGATTCTCCTATTTAGTCTCAGCCTTTGCTCCTAGGGCCCCAAGTATATTCCTTACAAAAACTGAGCGACTGATTCCTTGCCCCATCTTCTCCCAAGATAAATACTCACTGCTCCCCAATTGTACCGAGTGCACTCACTTAACTTCTCCAGCGGTGTCCTTCACTTTATCCCCTACTTTTCAGGTCCCTGTTCCGGGTGCCACTTGCTGGTGCCAGCCGGCGAAGACGGACAGAACCTGAAAGGGGAAGTGAGGATTGAAAGAAAAAAGAAGAGACAGAAAAGATGCTTGGGAGGACTGACAGTGAATACTGCAGCCCCGGTTTATTTCAGCTCCACCTTTTTATACAGAAGAACTCAATTAGTTTCCACAGCTGTTTTCCCACCTGTATCTGAGGGTCAAGGGGCGGTCAAATACTTGTTCTGTGAGCTATTTAACCATCTTCCCTAAATTATCAACACATTCCTCCTGACTTGGCAGAACAATTCAGTACTGGTGTACAAGCCTGCCACAGCTTATGTACATAATGGATTAATAGCTCCCAACAGGCGAGCAATGAAAGTTGTTTCAATCCGAGACTAATGTGAACTTCCTAGACAAAATGATCAAGCAACAAAAACAATAACATTGCTTGGTCCCTTATCAGAACCTCATTCAGTTTCCTTATATTTTTGCCTGTATAGCATCTAGACTTAGGGGAACATTCAAGAATGATGGTGGAAATCTGCAAAAGTTTCAGAGTATCTTCTCAATCTCTGCAAGTACAAGACGTACAGATTTAGTAGTGTGGTTTCTCAAGACACTGAGTCACTAGAACTTGAGGTGAGTTTGAAAAACACAACAAATTTGGTTCTCTGCTAGTCCTTCTACAAATGATTAACCAGCCTTACATTTATGTACAAATTATTGTTCTTACCTGGCTTCTATATTCTTATTGGACATTAACCTGTGAAATCACAGACATCAGACAACAGGTGCCTTCATAGAACTAGTGAAATAGTTCCTTTCAACACTGCTAGACACTATGTAAAATCATGTGGGAATACTTTAACAAACCAAAGCTATATCAAGAAGTACTGAAAGTACTTAAAACAACCAATCTTCCTTTGGGTAACCCATAGCCTAAAAGGGTCATTAAAGACAGAAGACAAAAACTAGATCCAGAAAGCCCTGATTTCTTTTTTCTTTTTAAAATTTTATTTATTTTTTATGTGTATATGTGTATTGCCTGCATGTAGGTAGGGCACCTGTGTCCTGCAATGCCTGCAGAGGTCTGAAGAGGCTGTCGGATCCCCTGGAACTGGAGTTACAGACAGTTGTTAGCTGCCATGTGGGTGCTGGGATTCAACCCCGGGTCTTCTGCAAGAATAGTCAGTGCTCTTAACCACTGAGCCATCTCTCCAGCCCCTCTTTTTTTTTTTTTTTTTTCTTTTTGAGACAGGGTCTTCCTATAGCCACAGCTGGCCTAGAACTCACTATGTAGACCAGGCTGGCCTTGAACTCACAGAGATTCACCTGCCTCTGCCAAGTGCTGGGATTAAAGGGGTGTGACACTATGCCCAGCTTCTTTTTAAAAAAAATATTTTATGTGTATGAGCGCATTGCCTGCATGTATGTGAGTGCATTGTGCCATGAAATGCTGTGGAGGTCAGAAGAGGGCATCGGATTCCACTGGAACTGGAGTTAAGGATGGTTCACAGCCACCATGTGGGTGCTGGGAATCAAACCTGGGTCCTCTGCAAGAGCAGTCAGTGCTCTTAACCACTGAGCCACCTCTCCAGCCCCCGGAAAACCCTGATTTCTTACACTGAGAATGATGCAAGTTGTCACTGAGTAACACAAGCTACACAACATTGTGTTAAGTGAGAGCTATTCTCAGTGTCTCTACTATGGCACACAAAGGGGGCTTCATGAAAACCGTCCTGCTTTTTACCAGAAACTGGGTCTAGGTTAGTATTCTGTCTACAAGAGGTTTAAAAGCGCGCGCGCGCGCACACACACACACACACACACACAAAATAGATTATCCACACTGCTTCTCTATTGGGCAGCTCACTTATACCTATTTCTAAACCTAAAATGTCTTTATATACTAATGTGTTAACTTGTTCCTGGAGCCTCTGATCCCTCCCATTATGGTCAAGTCCCCCTGAAAGTTCAAGATCTGACAGGAGGATTTAATGTCAACCTCATACTTGGTCACTGGGAAGGGAAAGAAGAGGAGGGACAATTAATCAGTTATGGGCAATGATTTAATCAGTCATGCCTGGTTATGAGACCTTTGTAAAACCACTGTATGACACAGTAAAGAGTGAACACATTGCAAAACATCAGGAAAATGCAATCACAATCAGAGTGAGATGACATTACATTTATTAATATAGTGAAATGAGAAAAGACTGAATATGCAAAGCATGGAAACCACTGTGGAGGAACAGAAATACACACACTGTTGTTGGGACCACAAAGGACACAGCTAGTTAAAACATATTTTGAAGTTTTTAGAAAGTGAAAGTGAGCTTAACTGAAATCACTGGTATCAGAGAAAACAGTTTTCAAAAAAAAAAAAACTGTACGCCTATGTTCTTTGTAGTTTTATCAGTAGCCTTCAATTGGCAATGAGCCATGTGACCACCAGCAGATGACTAGACAGTGACATGTCCACAGATTAGAATTCTTACCAATAGAGACAGTGATGTATTCATAAGGAACAATGAATCTAGAACTTACTATCAAATGTGAAAATAATCAGAAATCAAGCAAATATTTTGTGATTCTATTCAAATAAAATTCTAAAAATTACAAACTAAACCATTGTGAAAGAAAGCAAATCATTAGACACTTAAAACCCCAAGGAAAACAGACTATACAAGAGAAGAAAAATTCATTATTCTGATCATGATGATCAATAATTACATTATTAAGATCATGATGGCTTCATCGATAAGCTGTTCAATGTATACAACTTAAATATGTATACATTAATGCATGTGTTACATGCCAGTATACTAGTTATTTTTGCATTGCTGTGATCAAAACATCTATAAAAATACATTAAGGAAGGATTTATGTGGGCTCACAGTTTCAAAGGGCTTTGGTCTATCACAACAGGGAAGGCATGGAGGAACAATTCAGTTCATGGCAATAGAAACACACAGCAGAGTCTGTTCACATGTTGGACCATGAATCAGAGGGAGTAGCACGATCTAGGGGCTGGGTATAGCCTTCAAATTCTGTTCCTAGTGACTTACTTCTCCCACCCACGCCTCACTTCCTAAAGATTCTGCAATTTTCCAAAGTAGTAGTACTATCTGAGAAGCAAGTATTTAAAATATGAGATACATTTCAGATTCAAACTCTAACATTCCATATCTGACCTTCAAAGACTCACAACCGTCTTATAATGCAAAATACATTTAGTCCAACTTCAGGAGTCCTCCAAGTGTTAACAGTTTCAACACTGTTCAGAAGCTCCAAGTTTCTTATGAGACTCAAGGCAAATTCTTAACTATGAGCCACATAAAACCCAAAAGAAAGCTACATAATTTCAAGACAATAGCATGGAGTAAACAGTTCTATTTTAAAAGGGAGGGATGGGAGTACAGAAAGGAACAAAGCAAGAAACCATGCAAGGAGAACAATAAATCCTGTAGCTCCATTTCTGGGATCAGAATTACAGGATGGTATCATCTGAGCTGTAAAAGGCTTGACCATGCCTACCCCAAGGGCCTTGATAGTTCCAGCCCACATAGCCTCTCTTAGACCATTTGGCATTGGTAGCTTTCCTTGCCAGATATCCCATGTTCTTGACATACAACAACGTAGGTTCTCCAAGGCCAAGACAGGGAGAGGGATCCTGACTCTGAACTAGTGGATATCTGGCAACACTAGGCCGGATGCTCTTGGCTATGGATTTGGAACGTGTAAACAGCAACCAAATGTGAGGCAAAGAATTTAAAGATATATCTCACACATATTCAGTGAGAAAAAGGAATAAAGTTGTTTTCAAGGTATAGGAAAATGAGTTTCAGTAGGGATTGGGGAAGTGACAATGTGTGGGGCATGGGATAGGCACACTCAGTTCAAGTTGCTAGGGGAGTTTTAATGAGAAATTATGGCAGTTATTTAATACTGGCAAGGGAGACAAAGTGTCTAGAGTGTGCAGGATAGCTCCAGTACAAGTTACACATGCCTGGAATTCACCCTTCTGATTACTCGTAAGTGGAGGCTTAAATGGTAGTTGGGTCTCTTATGAAGGCTCTCTGGTCTGCTACATAAGCAAAAAGACAACATTCTTTAGAGGTCTAAAGGGGGTTTTCAAGTGTAGGCTTTCAGGAACCAAGTGCTGCTACCTAGGGTTGAAGGATTTCCCATACTTGCTTTTTCTGTGGCCTTTCCATACTGACATTTTTGGTGTTGAAAGATGCTAGAGGGTTGTCTAAAAGATTTTCCACACTTAGGTTGGAGAGGTGGCTCAGCAGTTAAGAGCACTGACAGCTCTTGCAGAGGACCCAGGTTCCATTCCTAGCACCCACAGAGTGGCTAACAATCGTCCATAACTCCAGTTCCAGGGGATCTGACACCTTCTTGTGACCTCATGGGCACTGAATGACATGGGTGCACTTATACACATGCAGGCAATACACTCATACACATGAAAAGAATAATAAAAAGATTTTCCACACTTGCTACATTCATAAAGTCTTTCCTGCACTGTGAACCACCTGATGCCTGAATGACAGTAGACATTTGTGGAAACGATTTTCCACACTGGTAACACTCTTATGGTCTCTCCCTAGTATGAATTCTGCTGTGTTGGGTAAGGCTGTTACTTCTGCTGAAGGCTTTCCCACATTCATCACATTTAAAAAGTCTTTCTCCAGTATGAACTTTCTGGTGTTTAACTAAGCCAACTCTCCGACGAAAGTATTTCCCACACTGATTGCAAGCATAAGGCCTTGTTCCAGTGTGAATTTTCTGGTGTTCAACAAGATTGTAGCTTTGCTTGAAGAGTTTCCCACATTTGGCACACTCATAAGGCCTTTCTCCAGTGTGAGTTCTTTGATGTCGATCAAGTGTGGATTTATACTCAAAGGCTTTTCCACATGCCTCACATTTATAAGGACATTCTGGAGTATGAACTCTCTGGTGCCTATTAAGGGTTGCTTTTTGGGTAAAGGATTTCCCACACTCTCCACACTCATAAAATTCTGTTGTAGTGTGACTTCTACGGTGTTTAATGAGGTAGAAGTATTGTTTAAAGAACTTACCACATTCCCCACACTCATAAAGGCTATGTGCAGTGTGGGTTCTCTGGTGTGTCTTGAGGGTGACTCTTTGACGAAAGCAAATACCACATTCTCCACACTCATAAGGCTTTTCTCCTGTGTGAATTTTGGAGTGTTTAGTAAGATTGCAGCTTTGGCTAAATGATTTTCCACATTCTTCACAATTATAGGGCTTTTCTCCAGTGTGAATTCTTTGATGTGTCATGAGCGTGGTTCTTTGACGAAAGCATACGCCACATTCCCCACACTCATAAGGCTTTTCTCCTGTGTGAATTTTGGAATGTTTGGTAAGATTACCACTTTGGCTAAATGATTTCCCACATTCTTCACAATTATAGGGCTTTTCTCCAGTATGAATTCTTTGATGTACAGTAAGAGTGACTTTCTGACTAAATGACTTTTTACACTGTCCACATTTATAAGGCCTTTCTGTATTATGAATTCTCTGGTGTGCAACGAGGCTGAAGATCTGTCTAAACAACCTTCCACATTCACCACACTCATATGGCCATCCTCCTGTGTGTGTTCTTTGGTGCTGGAGAAGACTCGAATGGCACCCAAAGGCTTTTCCACATTCCACACACTCATAGGGCCTGTCTCCACTATGAATTCTGCAGTGTTCACTGAGGTTGGAGCTCTGACTAAAAGACTGCCCACATTCACCACAATTATATGGTTTTTCTCCAGTATGAAGTCTCTGGTGTATAGTAAGTATCTTCTTTTGGCTAAACAATTTTCCACAGTCATGACACTCATAAGGTCTTTCTCCAGTGTGATCTCTCTGGTGTGGTCTATGTGGATATATACTTTGGAAGTCTTGGTCACATTTGCTAGATTTAAAATCCTGTTTTTCAGTGCAAGCTCTTGGGTGCTGAACAAGTTTTTGTTGGGTGCTGGGAGATTTTTTATATTCATCTGACTGAGACTTACTTTTATTACCATGGAAGGATTCGCCACACTTGATTTTTTGTTTCTTACTTTTGAGAACAGCCTGGGGTTGAAGAAGACCCCACCTGGCTGGGAAATCCTTTCCAATCTTCCTACAGATGAAAGGATTTCCTGACACATGGAATATGCAGCTCTTTATAAGCAACTCCACATCTCTCTTTAACAAATTCTTGACATTGTGATGCTTCTGGTCCAGGAGTTTTTCACACATCCTGATGTATGGTTTCTGCCCAAGTAGATCGTTCAGATGCAAAATGTCTGTCAGGACTGGGACACAGATATCACATGGATAAGTTTTTTGTGTGGATGGATCTGCCTGTGGAGTCTTGATTTGCGGTGCCTCTGCTACCAAAATACTTTGTGCAGAAGTTTTTTCTTCATCCCTTGTTTCATGCCAATGAACTGAAAGAAATAATAATGAAAGACACGTTGACTATGTTTCAAGTTATCAATTCTGTTTTAACTTTTTTCTCCTTATTTTGATCTCTTAAGAAAGGGAACTCGTTATGAGGGGAGGACAATTCTTTTATTTTATTTTCAAAATATGCCTAGCTCTATTTTCAGAGTCACCCACAATTTTCAAGGATACACAAGAAAAAATTTTTCCCCAGGTTTCAGCTACTTTTGTTGCAAAGATATAAGTTTTATCAACTGTAGACGGAGAGAAAATGACAAAAAACAATGTAATCTTCCAGAGCAAGTTGCCCTCTTTGGCAGATTTCTGTCTGAAAGGCTAGCTTGTGGCCAGCAATCTGCTTGTAGCCAACTACACATAGGTGGATTTTGTTTCTATGGTTGGTGAATAAAAAGAAATTGTTATTTAAGTGTTTGGTTTTTTTTTTTTAAATCACTGATCACAGTAAAGACTCTAAGTCAGGGGCTGGAGAGATGGCTCAGTGGTTAAGAGCACTAACTACTCTTGCAGAGGACCCGGGTTTGATTCACAGCACCCACATGGTGGCTACGAACCGTCTTTAACTCCAGTTCCAGGGGAATCCAAAGCCCTCTTCTGACCTCTGCGGCATTACACGACACGGGTGCACTCACATG